GGGGCGGGGCCGGGCTGGGGGCGGGGGCCGGGCGGGGGTCCGGGAGCCCGGAGGGGGCGGGGGCCGGGCCGGGGGCGGGCTGGGGGCGCGGGGCCGAGTCGGGGGCCGGGGTCCCCGCGGAGGCCCGCCCTCATCGGCCGCCTCGCGCCTCTCTGCCCGCAGCCCGTCGGAGCCTTGCTGCTGGAGCGCTGCAGAGTCACCCAGGAGGAGCCCAGCGGCTTCTCCATCAGTGAGTGCCGGCCCCGGGCCTGCCCCTCCCGGGCCCTGCCGCCGCGTCTGTCTGCGCGGAGGCAAAGTCCACTGCCCCCGGCGGCCGGAGGGCGGGCCGGGCTCTTCCCCCGGGGCGCAACCACTTGCTAGCTGCAGCCGCAGGGGCCCTAGGACTTGCTCTCTTGTTGGGGACTACAGCAAAGTGCTCCGGTGCCCGGCCGGGTTCTGGGCGCTGCGGAGGATTCTCTGGGTCGTCTCGAGAGCGTCGGTAGAGGAAGGTGGAGTCTGTGCTGGTTTTCTGGTGTGGCGCTCAAACGAGAGAAATGTGTGCTCCCCTAGTCCAGGAGAGCAGAAGTCCGACAACAGGGTGTGTGCAGGGGTGGTTCCTTGCCAGGGAAGCTTTCCCAGGCGATCCTGGCTCCCGACGGTCGCCAGCAGCCCGAGGTGCCCCTTGCCTTTGTAGAATCAACCCTGCATTCTCCGTGTGCGTGTGGCTCACCCTCTGCGTGTTTGTGTTCAGATTTCCCCTTGTTACAAGGACGCTAGTGGCACTAGGTTTGGTACCCAACTCTTTTTTGGTTGGTCTATTAAGTACTTATACTTGTAACTGTTCTGACTCCAAATAGGGTCGTATTTTCAGGTTCTAGGAGTCAGGACTTGAATGTTCTGTTTTGAGGACACAATTCAATCCACAGCACAGCCGGTGGGAAGCGACGAGTCAGGGCTGGGACTGGAGGAGGGGACACTAGGACAGAGGCAAGAAGAAGCTGAGGCCTGTGGCGGGCTCTGGGGCGGGGGTGTGGTGAGCAGGAACAGACCGGGGTGGGGGGTGCTGCTCCCTCTGCAGGCTTCATGGAGGACCCGGAGAGGAAGTATCACTTTGAGTGCTGCAGTGAGGAGCAATGTCAGGAGTGGATGGGGGCTCTGCGGCGAGCCAGGTGGGGTGTGGGCCTGCCTGGGGGGTCTGGGGCGGGGGCACAGCGGGGCTCTGTGAGCTTATGCCACTTTCTCCCCCAGCTACGAGTTCATGCGGAGAAGCCTCATATTCTACAGGAATGAGATCCAGAAGATGACTGGCAAGGTGCACAGAGGGCCCAGGGGAGCCAGGGGTGGGGACAGGGGCCTGGGCCCCTGGAGCCTGGGCTCATGCTGCCCGTTCACCCACACAGGACCCCCTGGAGCAGTTCGGCATATCGGAGGAGGCCAGGTTCCAGCTGGGTGGCTTGAAGGCCTGAGTCTGGAACAACCCCCTCCCCCTCATCCTCTCCAGGCCCTGGGTTTCCTGGTCAAGTCTGGATTTGCTGCAGCAGCAGATGTTTGGCTTAAAGACTTCAAAAACCCAAGACGGGTGGGAGTGGGCAGGGGCAGGTTGGAGAAACAACCCACTGACCCCCCCCCCCCCCGGACTGGTCTGGCACCTACTGGTGCCCCATGCTGCTACCGGGGGACAAACGTCCACTCCTGGAAGTTGTGTCCAGCCCCTTGGGCACATCCGTCTGGGGTCTGACGGCTCCTGAGGCTGGTGTAGCTCTCCTGGCCTGTGCAGGCTGAATGTACAAAGCTAGACGATGCTGTGAAGGGCGTGGGGGACACGCCTGCTGGAGCCACTGTGAATTCTACTCCTGCTGATGGGGCAGGCCCTGGCCAGGCGCCTCTGGGTGGAGCTGGAAGTCTTCACTCTCAGGCCAGCGTGCTTGTTGTATTCAAATAAAGGGACCTCTTTTCCATGTGGGACGGTGCTGCCGTGAATGCAGGGAGGGGCTGCTGGCCCCCGAGGCAGGGCAGGGAGGCCTCTGTGGGACGGCAGTCCTCCCCACGTTGGGGGTTTAAGTGCCCAGGAGCAGGGCTGGGCTGCCCCAGTAGAGGGACAGAGACCTAGAACCAGACCAGGGAGAGGCGGGGAGGCTGGGACTTTGCTTGGCCCATAGAGCCTGTGGTGCTAACAGGCCCCCAAGGGACAATGGAAGGAGGGTGTGATTGAACCTGAAGGTGACCTGTGATCCCAGTTCCTAGGCCTTCCCTTGAGGACAGGCAGGACCTCGGAAAGGGTTTTTGCCAGTATTAGAGTCCTAAGTCAATCCGTCTTAAAAACAGGAGGCATCCTGGGTGGGCCTTGCCTAATCAGGTGTAAGCATGGGAGGGACTGGGCCTCCCTGAGGAGGGTGCTTGCTGTCTGCCAGGGTCACGGGGCTGCCTTGAGGAGCTTACCAGGCCTCTGCTGGAAGCCCCTGTCCTCCCCACTTGGGGAATGGTGAGTGTGACCCCTGGCCCTCACACCTCTCCCTTGCATCATCATCAGAAAGAAACGCTGCCACCAGATGAGGTTCAAGTGAAAACAAGTATTTTATTACAGCGCCTAGAGGTGGAAATGCAGAGTGCATTGGGGTTCTCTTAGGAAAAGAGGGTCAAGCCAGCAGCCCAGGGAGGGACAGGCCATGCCAGCACCCCCAACTGAAACACAGTCTACCAAAAACACAAAGCAAAGCCCCGTCTGAGTTACAAATCAAGGTTGAGAGATGTGGGAAACAAACCAGTGTGGCTGGACCGTGGGAATGAGGGCAGGCGGGGCAGGTAAAGAGGGGCACGTGAGCCTTAGATAAATCACGGTCCGTAGCCGCAGGAGACGGCAAGCTGTCGGGAGGGCCGTGTTCACTGTTAGGTTTTCCTGAGCAGGGCCACCTGCGGCCTACCAGACTTCCCTGAAGTTGCCCGCGGTCGCCAGTAGCCCCGGGGCTCTGTGCACCGGCGTGCTGCCTCCCCTCCTGCTAGGGATGGCCCAGCCACCGTGGGGTGATCCCAAACACACCCGTGCTCGTGCCGGGAGACTCAGTATGGCACATCCGCAGGAAGCCCCATGTCAGTGACTGTGCGGGCCCCCCTGAAGTGATGCAGTGTGTGTGAACAGGGTCGCTCTGTTCTACGCTGGGGACTCACGTGTGACCTCTCCGATGTCCACCCACCCTGTAGCTTTTTAGGGAGCCCAGTGCACCTAACAAGGGTGTGTGTGTGTGTGTGTGTGTGTGTGTGTGTGTGTGTGTGGCCAGGCAAACACTGCCCTGTCCTGGGGGCCAGGGGCTTGAGGTTCACAGGGGTGAGGCACAGCACCTTCATGCCCCGGGAGCGCCAACCCAGAGGGAAGGAGCCAGGGCAGCCAGTTAACAGAACGATGGGCCAATTTCAAGAACCCATCGCGAGCACCATCTTCTGCCTCAACTATTGCTCTGGGCCAGAAGCATTACTCCCAGGGCAAGCAGGAAAGCAGGGCTCTGGCAGGCCCCTGCCTGTGGAAACCAGGGGTCCAGCCAATTTCCAGAACAGCCAACGGCCAGACCCGCCCTGCACAGATTGGTCTGCCTCCAGGAGGCGGCTGCAGGCAGAAAAGGGTCCTGCGGTGGCCGTCTTTGGCCTGCATTGCCTCAAGGCCTCTGCCTGCCCACCGGAAGAGTGGTGGTCAGGCCAAGCCTCCCGGGCAGGCAGGAGCTCAGGGCCTCTACTTGAGCAACAGGCTAAACACAGCCCACCTTTGGAAAGAGGCAAGTTCCCTGTGTTCCTTGGGGGATGCAAGCACCTGAGAACAGGGCTCTGACCTCACCAACTCAGCCCTTCCTAGAGCACCCATCTCGGGGTCCAGATCCCTCTGCCAGGACCTTGGCTGATGGTGGCCCTTTCGGAGGGCTGGGGACTTCTGGACGCACCCTTTGAAGACCGCGGACATACACAACACTGGCTGACTGCTACCCTGGAGGGGCTGGAGAGCCCTACTGGCAACCTCTAGGCGCCTCCGAACAGCTCCAGCTTTGCTCCCCCCCCCCCCACTCACTGACGTTCACTGACAAGCACCATCAGAGCTGCTCCAGGGTGGGGGCGGCACAGCCACAGCAACCGCACGGACTGGCCAGAGGGGCTTGGGCGGGGTGCGGGGCCTGTCCACTCCACCCCGGGGGGCTGCGGTCACGCAGTCCGGGGCTAAGGGCCGGCCCTGGGCCCATGCCACTGTGCGCACTTGAATAAATAGAAAGGTTCTCCCCTCGCTTTTCTTCTTTAGTTTACTATGCATTATACAATCTAAAAATAAATGAAGTCAAGTCTATGAAATTTATAAATTTTCATCACATCTCTATAAAATACTGTCACTCCTCAGTGTGACTCTCCTCTGTACAGACACGCCAGGCACCCGTGACTAACCTGTCCCACGTCCCTGGCCCATGTGCCGCGAGCTTACTACGCGCTTTGGTGGACCGCGGCGGGAGCCCCAGACGAGCAGAAACGTACGAAAGTAAATGCACTTGCACCAGCCCGCCACGCCGTCGGGAGTCGGGTACCAGACCTTCCTCAAGCACCACTCAGAACGGGTCCGCGCAGCATCGGGGAGGGTCTGACCGCCCCACGCCCGCCGACCGTTCCTATGCCAAAGGCGCTAATCCCAGGCCGAGGGGCCAACAGTCCGGTAGGAGCCGTTCACAGTGATGGGGCGGGGCGGGCGCCCCCCCGGGGAGAGGGCCTCTTCCGAGGAATGTCACGACAGCGCGAGCCACCCTCCACCTGGAGACAGCCGTGCCTTTGGTATAGGAAGAGCGGCAAGAATAAATAGGGCAGGCGCCTCACGGCCCGGCTCTGGCGTTGGTCAACCTCCAGTCAGCACCAAGAGAACGCGGCAGCAGCGAGGCCTGCGTCGAGATAGCACCGGGACCGGCGGTCAGCGCGTCCGCGGGCAGGCCAGTTCTCCGGGCGGACGTCTGCATATAGATCCTCTCATATATAGTATTTACACTTCTCAATAGGTTGCCTTTACGACTTCGGTGGAGTAAAATAAGTCAGAATTGTTTATACTTTTTAAAAAACGATAAATACTTTATCTAAAACTATCGACAGTACGAGCTAGAGCCAGGCCCCAGCACCTCCTGCAGGTCTGCACAGCGCGGATTCACAGTAGAGCCTCGTCCCGTCCTCAGTCCGTCCTCGCTGTCCGATGGCCGGCCGCCGGCCCAGCCCGTCCTTGCATAGGTCTCACGGTTGAGGTAGAAATCCTAGTTCCCTGCAGAGACACGCGCGGGAGGAAAGGCAGCACAGATTCAGCGTCTCTCTCGGGGGGGCCCAAACATTCCCCCAGGCCAGGGAACCAAAGCCTCCTACAGACGGATGGACGGTCGGACAGACAGAACAGGGTCGCTGCAGGCCCCGCCTCTCCTGGCAGGGACCCCCGGCGCTGGGCCCCTGGTCCGCTCGGAGGCAGCAGGTCCCCGTCCTCCCCTCCCCCCCAGGAGCCTTGGCACCGAGGCCCCCCCCTCCCGGCCGCATGCCAGGCCCTGCTCGCAGGCCAGCCTAGGGAAACCGCCCGTGACGGCCACGGGGCAGAGGAACAGAAGGCGGTGGTCCCCTGTGGGCCAGGACCAGGAGCCTGATGCCCAGATGCTTCCGCACGCACACCTCGGACCTCTTCAAAGCCGGTCCCGGCCGCACAACGCCTTCTCTGATGGCGTGAGGCCCCCGCGCGCACGCGCACGCAACCTGCTCTACCTCCTGGGCTTTTCCAACAGGACTGTGGCACAGCCTGTCCCCAGACCTGCACCCTGACTGGGGGGCCGTTAGACTGCGGCGGCCCCACACCCGTTTCCACTTAAACACGCGGCAGACGGAGGACCGGCCGGCCCCAGCGCCCTGTTAGCGCCCAGCTTCCTTTCCTCGAGTCCTTGCCCCCGGGGACGCCAAGCAGCACCAGCAAGTGGCCGGGCGGGCTGTACCAGGGCCCGGCTCCCTAACGCCGACACGCGCGGCTCGTGCAGGCCTCACGATGACCTTCCTCACCCGCTTCCGAATATGGGCCCTTCCTACACTGCCCTGCACGACTCCGCGCTGACTGCCCCGAGGCACGGGCCGCGTTCCCGGGAGCGGCAGGAGCTATGCTGTGGCCACCACGGCAAAGCACTGCCCCCGGCCAAGGCAGCCGTTCCTCTGTGGGCGGCGCCGCGCTGCCCTGGGCCTGCAGGCAGAGGCCTCTAGCCCCGGAGCCCGAGGCACGAGCACCGAGTTTGACGATCCTCTACACATTGCCTTTTCTTAAAGCCCTGAAGGTGCATTCAGGGAGACAGACTGTGGGAGGCCCTAGAGCAGACAGACAGCAAGGCTGAGCCCTGAGCTGCCCCAGGGGCCCCGGTCCCTGGCCACTGCAGACACAAAGCCTGAGGATGACAATGGCGGGCTCCATCCAGCTAGACGGGCCGGGCCGGGCTGCCGGCCTCAGCCACCTCCTCCCGGCCACCTCCGCTGGGCAGGGGCCCATGGGGGCTTGCCGTAAAGGGCTGGGCTGGGCAGTGAGAGCAGGCCACCCCCTGGAGCTCCGTGGTGGCTGCTCAGCCGCCCCGGAGGCCGGAACACACAGCCAGCCCTGCCTAGCCACCCGGTTTCCCTCGCCTCACTGTGCCCTATCTTCCCTTGCACCTCTCAGAACCAACCGTCTCCACCCAAGGCAGAAGAGCCTGGGTCCCCTGGGCCCCTCCTCGGAGCCCTGCGGGCCCGTCCACTCTCTGTGGAAGGAAGGACAGATAGTTCAGGGTCTCGTACGGGCCCCCTGGTTGGGCTCTAGCCTTACCTTACAGAATACGAACTGCTAGCTAAGCAAGGTCTTTATCTTGGCTTAACCCCCGCAAGGCGCGCGGCATACGGAGGCGGCATGCCAAGGGAAACCCACACGGCAGACGGCCCCGTGGAGCTGGCCTGCGGGATCACGGGCGC